ATATTCATGTGTATTAATTTCGATTTTCGGAACTGACGAACTATTAAAACGACCTGTTAAAGGATTAATTTTTAAACATGTTAAAAATAAAGTCTTTCAGACCCGTAAGTTACAGCCTGTAACCAACTTCGTTCCGATTGTATTTTACTTATTTTAGTAAAATGTTACGTTTGTAACGGTCCGTCGTCAAATGTCCATAAATGTCTTGAATGCAACAATTCGGTACATGCAATATGCGGAGAACATCCAGAAGGAGTGGAAGAGGGATATGGTGCCCCTGTTATTTGCAAAAAGTGCATAGCTTCGAAAAAAACAGGTATATGTTAGCTAAAATTTGTTTTGTATTAATTTTATAACGCCGTGGCTATTCGTACTGGAACAGTACGCCAAGTTTGATTTGCTATTCGTACTGCAGTCATAATATTTAAGATAAACCTGACCCCAACCCCTTCTTTAACCCTAACCAATAAAGGTCTAATAAACTATTTGAGAGTTAAAAAAGTGGGGGGGGGGGCGAGCGACTCCCAAATGGAAAAGTAAAGCTGGCTAGTGGTGAAGGGCTCCTCGAACTTTATGGGAGGAAAGATTTCGAGCGATTTTACGCCTATGTCTGTTCTCTTCCACACATTGTAGATCTTGCAATTAAGGAAGACTTGTTTCTCGACACAGCTTTGGGAAACACCATCTTTCATCGAATGAAACAAGCCTTGAAGTCATACTTGTGGAAGGATACAGGAGAACATCTTGCCAAGTGGTTTTCTCTGTCATCGCCTTGTCAACAACGGGCTTAAGAAGCTGGAGAAAATTGAGCCGAGTTCCGACACTTCCGTCTCCTGCCTCAGCAACACTTACCTGTTAATGTTAGAAGACACCTCTGGATGCCCATTCAAAGCCAAGCTGAATGAGGCACAAGTCTACCACAGCATTTACACCGACGAGAGACTCTTCAATGAAATCGGTTGTGAGGGATGCATTACAATTGACATTGCCTTGGCAAAAGGTGGGACAGAGGCAATTGTAGAGTCCTACTACAGCGTGATGAAGTCACAGAAAATGTGTGGCGGACAATGTAATGCAACTTTGGCTTTAAGGTATGTATTAGTTTAGTCTTGTTAACTTTCAATATGCAGTTAATATGCACCTAGAAAGTTACTGCCCTTGGAAAACTGCAGAATTAATCTTTAATTTGAATTGCGTTCTAACATTAAAATGTACTGATTTAAGTCTTGTTATATCTTCGAGTTTCAGTTAATTAATGGAGCAGTTACTTAACAGTTAACAATCAATACTGTAATTACTGTTTTCTAATAGGACAAAGCTTGATTGGTCTATGCCACCAATTTTGGAGTGTGATCGTGCGGTTAAGGAAATTGCAGAGATATTCATCAATGGTGACAAAGAGCTTTCCCTACCAAAGCATGCTACACCAACATTAGGCAGTCGAGCAAAGTACAGCCAAGAAAGCAAAGTGCTGAAACGACTTCGCACCAAAGATCCACGACTTCCGTTTCTGTTGTAAAATAATCTGCATTTGTCTATCAATTGTTATTTCATTATATATGATTAATTATTTATCTTCTCAGTTTCTTCTGTAATAAAATAATTAATAAGTAATACAACGATATTAATGCCATAATCATACTTGTGATTATGCCATCATTAATGCCATAATCATACTTGTATATTAATGCCATAATTATACTCGTGATTAACAAATCAACCGACCGCGTAGCGGGAGGTTGATTTTGTAATCACTCATATGATTATGGCATTAATAGCAGTCTTATTCGTTCTAATACCATCATTAATTATAATCTTTATCTGATTTAATTTCAAAGAACATGGACATTTCATTATGTCAGTCAGTGTCAAACAAAACACAAAGTATGAAAGTGAACTAGTTAAACTAAAAGTCATGGACAATGTATGCATGCAGGTCAGAGTCGTACTGTAGTTTCATTATTTTACAGCTATATCCTAACGTCCAGAGTTGTATAAATCACTGATATATATATATATATCATGGTATAAAAGATGAACTATATATGACCTCTGTATATGTCCAGTATAGGCATCTGTTATCGGATTGCTGAGCGAGTGATAAAATGTTAGCCTGCATAGCAGGCGGTATTCGCGGGCACAAAAAATGTTTGCTGTCGGAACCAATCCCCCATGGCGCACAAAATTTTTAGGGCATATTTGCTGGCGCATATATCCGGCGGGCAAATTACGAACTTTCCACTATGGTGGTCCAGTACCTTCATACTGTTAAAAGGATTCCTATTAATATACCCAGAGCAATCTGAATACATATCCAACTTGCCTAGTCCCAGTTGAGGAGCAGTGCACATACTGTGAGGATGTTGATCTCAGTTGTCCCATTCAAATCACAGGAAAAGGCCAAATATTCACAACAACTAAAGTTATTTAAGGTTAGTTTGAATTATTTTACCCTATACTATATATATAAAGCGTGGTGCCAGTAAATACATTATCGGAAATAATTTTGCTTTAATTAATTAATATCATGTTTTGTACCGTTTTTACCAGGCAAATTTATTATTTAAACAGACTAATGTTAACAGCATGTCAATCATAGGAAACAGCGGACAATGAAACACATTTCATTTATATTTTAAATATACTTATCTGTGTTAAAATGTGCCCAGAATATGGCATGACCTATCACTATCAGGAGTATCTACATGGAATTCATAACTTCAATGACGGTCACTACTTCAGCTTAAGTTTATTGCATTTCTTAGAGCTTTTGTGGAGGTAAGTTTATTTCTGAGGAGATGATATACATTTTATTAGTACATCGCTGCTGCTTTATATAATTAATTTATTAACATATATAATAGTCCTCGAACTAAAACTAGTGATTGGCATAATCTGTTCAATTCTTTCATTTGCACAACGGGAACACACCACCATTGGACCATTTCAAAGCATGGGCAAATTACCATTTCAAAGCATTGACAAATCATAGCTACCAATTTCTTGTGCATTCTTTGTGGTTACTATCCTCCGCAACTCAAATAGATCTATGTAAAAAAGGATGTTTTCACTAATGCGTAAGTTTGATGATTCTACATAATATATAAATTTAAATAAATAATAAGATTCCCTAATGGATTTATCTCTATTTATCTCTACACAACTATACGCCATTAAATAACTTTTATAGTCGATGATCTAGACATTCCTCCAGAATGTGACGAGTCGGACCGCATTAATTGACAAAATTTCTGGACCAAAATTCAACAGATGAACATTGCAAGAGGTTTAAGTACAAGTATACATCCATACAAATCACTCGGACCTGCACATAATTTAATTGGAGACATTGTTCTTATACAACAAAATCCACAATCATTCTACTTTAATTTAAATAACTTCTGCAAGACTCCATGTATTTGTATGTGATTTATAGTGGTTTCACATTTATATGTGATTTATATAGTGGTGTTACACAGGTGATTTACAGCAGCATATGGTTACCTGTGGTTCAATGTCCACAGTAATTAGTTTTGCTGTTGTCGTTGCCCAGCCTTTTATGTCTGCGCCTGTATTGTTTGTGTCAGTGTCCATGTCTGTAATAAGTTAATTGTAAAAACGTATTTGTATGCACTAGGTAAAGTTTCATAAAAGAAACCAGACATTAGACCTATATTGTGCTATTCATGATAATACCTTATGTTAGTTACAAATATGCTATCCTATTCCTAAGGATATTATATTTTCATGCATATAGAAAACCAAGCTATCATTTCTGGTCTTCATGGGTTGGCCCTCGCACCAGAAAGGAAGATGCAGTGTTAAACACGGAGTACAAAAAATGCCATCATCATCGTCAACCCTGACGTCATTGTTAGATACCAAAAATTGGTATATAAACTAATTTTGATGGCATTTTGTATCATAGCGCTTGTGCAAGGAAATAAATAACTTGAAACGTTTTGCCATATCTGTTCAAGATAACCACAAACTGACACAAACACAGTTTTTAATCCAGCCCCCCCCCCCAATATGACATCTGTTTTGACATAAGCACTTTTCAATTTTACACTTTTCTAGGACAATGGGTGTCTGGGTCTTGCCCTCATAGGATTTACACCATTAAATTTGTTTTAAGAAGCAAAGGTCCACAAGATTATTGTGATTTACTTTAATCATTCAAGTATCACAATCATAAGTGTGTCAGATATTCCAAATCATTTGGCAACATGTGCAAACTGAGTAATGCCTAACTTCTTTGCTCCAAATGATGGGCAGTGGTTTCCTTCAACACCAGAAAATGTCACAATGGCAAGTGAAGAGAGACTTCAACTAGGGATCCAAGGATAGTGCAATGTTTCTGAAAACTTGAAAAGTCATTACAGTAATATCAAATTTTTCAAACATATTGTTCATAGTTTTGCAATTCATTTGTCCAAATGATGCAGTTCGTGAATGCAAAACTGTTGCAAATTGATTTTGTTGTAAATTACCAGTAAGCTTGAAGTAGACAAATTTTGAACTTTTAGATAAACTTTTGAACTTATTACAGCCATTTTCGTCCAACCATACCACAAATCGCAAAAATTTCCGAGTGTTTGTTTACGTTTGTGACATAGCTAACAGTAGCTTGCCGGCAGCTACATTTGTAATGTTGTACATCTCAATTGCTTATATACATAACACAGTATCAAAAAATTAGTTTTGTCGAAATCCCTGTATATTTATTTTGTAGCATCTCAATTTATTTAATATACAGAATGCAGATTAGGTTGAAATTTCAGTCACATCACACATTAATTGCCAAAAAAGTAAATTTGTCAACTTGTCAACTTTTTATAAACGTAAACATTGTCATTTACTGTGTTGGTGTAATGTACGCATGTGACTAGAGATCTTTAGCATAACCCATCCATATGCAAATGATCTACTATA